GGCAGGGCTGTCCCTGTGGTGACCGGGACATCACAGCCTGCACTCCCCCAGCAGCCACATTAACAGAGATCTCCAAGCTGCGGGGAGCTGTCCCCTGTCCCCAGGCACGACAGGATGGGTGTCCCCAGCCCGAGCAGCCCCCCGTGGGCACCCCAAGCCCCCCTGACCAGCCCTTGCACCCCGGGCAGAGGGGCCGGGAGCCCGCGCCAGCACCAGAAGCCGGTTCCATGCAGGCAGGGAATATAATAAAATTAAAGCTCATTAAGCACTTAGAAAAGGGTTTGCATTGAGGGGGAGTGGGCGGGGGGGGCCGGGGGGCTGTGCATCTCAATACTGGGCTATTTAGAAGGGAGAGTTTAATAACGGGGGGGGTTGGTTTTTATGGCAATAGATTTATTCCACCTGGGCTAAGAAATACATTCCACATCTGCCGAGCCGTGTAACCAGACTCTAATTAAAATCGTGTGCCAAGCGAGGGCCTGGCTGTGAAACACAAAGCTGGCTTTTAGAGCGGCTGGGAAGCGCGGCCAGGCGGCCCGGGGGCGGCAGCGCGGGCACGGGGCTGCGACACCGCCCGCTGTCCCCAGCGGGGAACCAGGGGGCTGAGGGGGACACTCCGGGCCTCTGCGGGGACACGGCGACACCCATGGGCATGTCACAGCCCTGGGGACAAAGTGACATCCGCATGTGTGCAGGGACACGGGGACACGGTGACACCCACGGGCATGTCACGGCCTTGGGGACAGGGTGACATCCGTGTGTGTGCAGGGACACGGTGACACCCACGGGCATGTCACGGCCTTGGGGACAGGGTGACATCCGTGTGTGTGCAGGGACACGGGGGCACCCACGGGCATGTCACAGCCCTGGGGACAAAGTGACATCCGCGTGTGTGCAGGGACACGGCGACACCCATGGGCATGTCACGGCCTTGGGGACAGGGTGATGGCCTTGGGAGTGACCCCGAGGACGAGGCGGTGGCTGCCCACAGTGGTGGGATGGCCCAGGGGCTGGCTGATGGCCACGCAGAGGCAGCGCACGGGGACTGGTGACACCCACACGTGTGGGGACAGTGTGACACCGCAGTGACAACAGGGAGAGGGTGGCATCCCCCTGTGCACGGAGGTCATGAAGAAAGGGTGACACGGATGCGTTTCATGGGGTCGGGGCAACATCCACGCACCTGTAGCGGCCAGGGGCTGGCGTGGCAGCCGTGCTCTGTGACAGGGGACAGCGATGTCCCCAGGGCGGCACGGAGGGACACACGGGCAGGCAGCGCGGGCTGAGAGGGCGCTGCGGGCCCCGCGCCGGGGTTTTACAGCCCCCGAGGTGCCGAACAAACAGCGGCTGTGTCTGCGTTTAACAGCCCGGCCCTCAGACAGCGGCAGCAGCGCCAGCCCCGATGGAGAAACTAATGAAACCTTCGAAACAGCTTGTACGGGAGTAGTGAAGTGAGAAAAAAACCCCAGAGCGCCTGCTGCCAAGGAAAATACACTTACCTAGTAAAGCATGAGTAATAAGTGGCGTTTTTTACAGTGTGAAGATATAACTTTTCATGAAAATACCAAATAAGGCTCCGTGTGAAAAGTGGCCGGCCTTTCTAGTCGCTTTTTTTTTCCTCTCCCTCTCTCTCTTACCTTTCTTTTCGTGCTCCAGGCACACGTGTGCTGTCCCCGGTGCCCCTTTCGCGGGAGCCTGTTTACGGGGCCGCCTCCCCGCCACCCCCGGCGCGGCCGGCTCGGGCTCCGTCGCCCTGAGAAGAAACGAGAAGGGAATGGAAAAACAGGAGCTGCTGTTCTGCGAGACTTTCTATTTTTAAAAGGTTAAAAATATCTATTTTCGGACACCAGCCCAGGAAGCGCTGGGGTGAAGCGCCGCGGCGGGACGGCGGCAGTAAACAACGCCGGGACGTGCCGGGCGGCTCCGGGGATGCTGCCGGCCGCGGGGACGGCCCGCGACAGCCACCCGGGCATGTGGCCACTGTGGCATGAGGGATGGCACCAGGCTGCGGGGCTCCGCGCCCCGAGAGAGGATGCTCAGCAGCAGCCAGGTGGGAAGGAGGTGCACACATCCAGGGGGATGCCCGGCCCCGAGGTGGGATGCTCGGCTCCTGGGGGATGCTTAGCAGCCAGGCAGGATGGCTGATCTTCCCCAGCATCACAGCCCTGGCGAGAAGATGGGATGCCCAGCACAGGAGTGGAAGGGATGTGGTACCCACTGCGGGAGGGAGGATGTGGAAAAGCCATCTCCAAAATCCCACGGATGCTTTTCCACCTTTGGTTTTGCAGCTCCGCTCCCTTCTCCCAGGCCAAGGTCCCGGGGAGCTCCCTGGGCTGGCTCTGGCAGCAGCCGTGCCCCTGTGCTCCGCCCTGGCTCACCTGGGCAGGAGCAGCCACACCTCTCTGCACCACATTCCCACACAGGGAGGACCAGGCAGCGCTCCAGGCCGGGGCAGAGGGGCTGGAATGCTGGAAAAGGGCCTGGGGTGCCAATGGCTGGACACGAACCCAGGTGAGCCCAGGTGAGCAAGGGGCCAATGGCCCTGGGCTGTGCTGGGGCACCTCCAGTGCTGGGGGCAGCTCTGGGCCCCTCCTGAGAGGAGAGCCCTGGAGGGGCTGGAGCGTGTCCAGAGCAGGGAACGGAGCTGGGAAGGGGCTCAGCTGGAGAAAAGGAGCTCAGGGGGGACCTTGTGGCTCTGCACATGTCCCTGACAGGAGAGGACAGCCGGGGAAAGATGGAACGGCCTCAGGCTGGGCACCAGCAGGAATTGGAACTGCCCAGGGAGGTTTGGAGAGCCCATCCTGGAGGTGTCCAAGGAACTCCTGGTGTGGCACTCAGAGCTCTGGGCTGGTGACAGGGTGGGCACTGGGCACAGCACTTGCTGGGGGCTCTCCTGCCACCGTGGGCTCGCTGGTTCCGCAGTGCCAGCGCTGAGGCATGGCCCTGGCAGGTCCCGCTGTCTTGTCAGGGATTGTGGGATTGTCTTGAGGGATTTTGCTTCCTTATAAGGCCCTGCTGTTCCCTGCTCCCCTGTCTGCGGCCGGGCTGGCACGGCCTGTGGGAGAGCACAGCAATTCCCAGCAGGCTGCCGGGACACCCTCCTGCCCTGCCCTGCCCTGCCCAGGGAGCCTCCTGGGATCCCTCGGCTCTCATCTCTACACTGCCTGATGCCTGGACAGGAAGGGCTGTTTCTGCAGGCCCTGCCCTGTGGAAGGAGGGTTATAAATCAGCTGGCTTGGAAGCACCTTGTCCAAGGAGAGCCCAGTGCAGCAATGGTTCCAGCCCAGAGTGTCTGACAGGGAAACTCCTCGATGCACCTGGGAAAGAAGGATGACAATTCCTCTGCCTGAAATAAGGCTGTTAGGGAGCAAACACCATAAACTGCACTTCCTTGGATGAACCTCTGCCACTGCTTCTTCTGAGGCTCTCCAGAGGGTGTAAATGTGGTGGGAAGGGAGATGCAGGGGGAAGAGGAGAGCAGATCCCCCTGGGATTGGATTTCCAGCTGTGAATGACCCATACATGGGTATAAAGACCTCTTCATCTCCAGGAGGAGCCTTGGGACCCTGAGCTCCACCAGTACCACATCCCAAGGTGGGAGATGTGCTCCATGTTCCAAAAGCCTGGCTCCTGGACATTGTGTCCCCCTCCAGCCCCTGGGTGCCAGAGGAGTGACCCCTGCCCACAAGGGAGCCTTCTCCCCATCTCTAGCCCCAACTCCTTGCTCCCAGGCATTGCCTGGGGACACTCCAGCCTCGGCCAAGGCAGCGTCCAGGGACCTGGAGCCCCCCAGGGGCTGGCAGCCTATGGACTGGGGAGTATGAGATCATGACTTCTGCAAGTGTGAAGCTCTGCTGGGTCCTGCTCCTGCAGACGTTAGGTCATTTTCCGGAGGAAGTGCCGTGTGACGTCCATCTGGGGGCAGGAGTCGGGGTGGAGCCGGAGCTCCAGCGAGACCACGGCAGAGGTGAGGGGCAGGGGCACCAGGACACCCTGGCCTGTCCCCCTGCTGCCACAGCAATGACACTCCAGGGCTCCAATCCAATACAAATCCTGCCATTTCAAGGTTTCAGATCTAAAACACTCCGCTGAAAGCTTCCAGCCCTGGTTTTGATGGAAGAAATCTTTACCCACTTCACCAGCAAATGTCTTTGACTTCCACACAGTCAAATACCACAACCACCCTTGGAAATCAGAATTTGACATATTATTTAATGAATAAGGACAAATAAAAAAAAACAAAAACAAAACCAAAACAAACCAAAACTGTGTTCAATGGGATTTGTTCTCATTGACTTTAAAAATACCCCCTCAACTCTACCAAAAACAACAGAACCCCTACAGCAGGGTGGGTTTTGCTCTCCACAGTTAAACTTTTTCATTAAACCAGAATAAGGCTGATCATTCTCTTGCCAGGCCACAGCACGGGTTTTGCTGGGGTGCAGCAGCTCCTCTCCACCAGCCCAAGCTTCAGGAGGGCTCAGCATCACCCCTCTGGAAAATGTTTCCCATCTGTCTGTCAGCCTCAGCACCAGCCAAGCAGGAGGCCCAGACCAAGAGCTCCTCTGTGGTTAACAGGATTGCTGTGCTTTATTCCTCTCCCACAACAGGTTCCTCAGGACCATGTGCCGTGGCACTCTTCCTTCAGCAGGCAGGTGACGAGATGTCCAAGGAAAATCTCTTATCTTATCTGGTTCATGCCTGTAAAAAAACCCTTCAGGCAACCCCAAACTTCCAAACCCTGCGATGCAGCTGTGCTGCTCCCTGGTACCTGCCTGGTGTTATCAGCAGTGCCCTCTCATCACCCTTCCCTCTGACTCACTGGCCTCCAAGGCTAAAGATCCAGCTCTTTCCCAATAACAGCAAAGCCTTCCCCCAAGGACTCCGGAGCCAATTGGGTGGGAAGCCTCAAGGATGTTTTTGTAAAGACAGAACACCAACAGTGTCCCAGTCTATAATTAGGCATCTGAGCAAGTTACAGAGGATACAAGTTCAAGGAAGAAGAGAGTAAGAGAATTTTATATGCACTGCTTTGTCCAAAAAAAGATTATGAAAGGCAGAGCAAAAACTATTTACCAGTCTTAGGGGGAAAATGAAGAACACTTCATTCAGTTAAAGCCAAAGCAGATGTTCAATTTTTGTGTCTGACCTGCTACATTGCTGCTGCCACCCAACGTGAACATCTGGACCAATCTGAAGAGCTGGGGGTGTACAAAGAGAAGAGGAAAACACCACAACTCCCCTCCTAACTTAGCACCAAAGGGGTGATTAAAAAAATACAAATTTCATGTGAACAGGTTCAACAGCCTTTCAAGAGTTCCTCTGGATGTTGCCTCTAGCTGGCAGTTCCCACACTGCTTGGTGAAGATGACTGAAATGATTGCAGTAACAAATAAAGACTTTTCTCTGATACAAAATCTAGTCCAGAGGGCTTCCTTACACAGTAAGCAGGGCACCTTGCATAACCAGGGGTTGCATGTTGGCCCCACAAGCAGCAGCAGCTTGCGGAGAGCCACACGAAAAAGGGAGCAACGCTCCCAAGCTGCCAAGAGGAGACAGACCCAGTTCATTTCTTCTGGCAAAATCCCATGATGGAGACCTGCTTGTTGGCTCTGCTGGCAGGAGCTGCCCCTTTCTTTGGGTTCTTCTTTTCCTCCTTTGGTTCCCTCTTGGTGGGCAGCATGGGTTGTTTTTGTGGAGCTGGTGCCTTGGGCTTGGGGAATTCATCCTCGCTGTCCGTGCAGGATTCGCTCTCGTAAACCTTCTCAGTCACTGGTGGGAACAACAGGGAAGGGAGCAGAGGATGATGATGATGGTTAAGCCATCTTTACACCAAAGACCTCCCCACTGCAGCCTTCCCATTGCACTCCTGGAAAGGAATGCTTTGGGTTCAAGGAGCACGTGTCAGACACAGGAATTAAGTCCAAAGTTAGGCAGTAGGAAATGACCTCGACTTGTGCCAAGGGAAGTTTGGGTTGGGTATTAGGGAAAACTCCTTCCCTAAAAGGGCTGTCCAGCCCTGGCACAGCTGCCCAGGGCGGTGGTGAATCCTCATCCCTGCAGGATTTAAAAGCCATGTGGACGTGGCTCTTGGGGACATGGGCCAGTGTTGCCCCGGCAGTGCTGGAGGAACAGCTGGAGTCAATGACCTCAGAGGGCTTTTCCAACCACAGTGATCCTGAGATTCTAACTCATATGGCAAAGGCTGACCAGCAGCCATCAGCAAGTGATGAATCTGAAGGAGATCAGAATCAGTAGTTTGGCACTAGGCAATGGAACATCTACTTTATGGCTAAACCCCACCATTCTGACTTGGTCCCATTTCCACAGGGGCCAAAGCAATCAGATTTTCCAGGAATCCAGGCGAGACAACCCGGAGACATCCCCAAGCTGCTCTCACCAGCACATTGGCCAGCTAGGGGAGAGCAAAGCAGACACCACCCATGTCCAGGGGCACAAAGCCTTTGGGGCAGCTTCTCTGCACAGAAAGAAGCAATGCTTCATGAAGGATCAGCCCCAGGCCGTGTCTGCAATCAGGGCTCTGCCTGAAGGGGAGTGCCAGCTCCCGGCGGTGGTGGAAAGCCCAGGGACATAAAACAACCTCACGGAAATTAAACTGGAGTCAGCCCCACTGATGAGAGCCGCCGTCAGATCCCAGCAAATGCTCTTAGATCAGCCTTCCCAGCAGTGCTCTGGGATTCTTCTAGTAAGCCATTTTTCTTTAGCAACTGTATTCTTTTAAACAGATGTCTTAACTTCCCTTCTTCTGGGAAACGGGCTTTCACTTGTATTAATGCATCAAATTAAATAAGGTTTCCTACGTCACCAGGGACTGGGAAGAGGAATGCTGTGAAATCCTCCTGGGCAGAGCTAGCAGGACCTCAGACAGGAACTGCAAACCAAGCCATCTCCCTTCAGAGGCAGCAGGCCCTTCAGGGAGCAGCTTCCCCAGACCACTGGTGAATTTAAAACCCTCATCCTGTTCTCAGCCTGTCAGGAACTGCTGGGAACTCCTGAAGCGTGCAGTTAACCCCTCTAATGGCAGCAGCACAGCTCAGGTCAGCTTTCTTTGGCTGCAGTCCCAGCTGAACTGCAGAAGTCTGTATGTGCAGCACCCATGGGTGCACAGGTGCAGTCACTGATGCCCCACTCACAGCCAGACTCTCTGAATCAGAGCAGCTCAAAGGATGGGAGCTCTAAAATGCTGTAACACAAATTTCCCTCCAATGCACGTGTGGAAATTCCAATCTCCAAGCCCCTGTGTGTTCTTTGAAGCTTCAGAAAGTGCAAGGTAGAAACACACAAGCTTAAACCTCAGTAATTCCACTTTACTAGAGGCTAAGAGCAGGCCCTCAATCCATGGATTTCTGTTGATGCCTAGGAATGTTTCTTGTGCTTAACTCCACACACACTTTAATTGCTCAATTTCCCTCAGGGCTAATCCCTAAATTACTTTTGCTTTTTGACACCAATTCCTTGCTATTGCAGCTATTGTGAAAACCATCACTTAAAATTGTGGAGAAATATAAAGTACAGCCTCATTCTAATGTTAAGATTAAAACCTCTTAAAACCTAGAGCTGGTTTAAAAATAAAAAGACAGCAGGGAGAGCGGGGGAAACCCCTCTATTTCAAAGAACAGCTAAAATTTACATTAGGCTGGGAGATTTGCAAGTTATTTAGCCTTTGAATTGTTAGGCCTGTGCATGGAAAGGGTGTGGAATGGAAGGGAGAAGAGAAACTGGACAACAGCCAGGCAGCACGTTCTGCACAACAGGCTGGAGGATTTGTAGTAGAGAACAGCATCTCCTCCCCAGCCAGATCCTCAGTATCCAGCTCCTTCCCACAGGATCTGTCTCCCAAGGGCACAGCAGGGCCTTGCATTCCGCCTTCAGAAAGGGGATATGAACTGTGAAACCAGGAGTCTGCATTTCCCAAGGGACTATGAAACCCCGTGGGGATAAAGAGCAGAGAAACAGAGGCAATATTCCCAGCTGGACCCAGAAGAGACAGTCCTGTGCTCTGGATGCAGAGCCTGTACAACTCAGCTCCCCATCTAATGATGTTTTGTTCCATTTTCCTTCCAAGTGTTCCAATGGCTCTGTCTGGGGTGGGAGAGGAGAACACCCCACAGGGTAACCAGCCAAAGCTGTCAGTAACTCTGTGCAAGGCCAATTCTTGGACAGGAAAGCAGCACTGGGGATTTCAGTCCCAGTGCAGCCAGCTGCTGAGAGCCTCAGCTTTGTGCTTCTCTGAAGGAGACACACCAAGTTAGTGGGAAACAGAAGATGCAGCTCTGCAGACAGGTGCAAACGGACACAGGCTGAGTCTGGGCCAGGCAGGTCCGGAGCTGGGCCAGGAATGCCCGAGTGTCTGCATGGCCACAGAGCTGGACAGCAGCACCTCATCTTCCCCAGCATGGCCTGAGCTCCACTGACATCCCCTCAGCCCAGCCAGGACAGGGAATCAAAGCATCCCATACAATCCAGCTGACAACAGCATTACAAAAAACACATCCTACGCTCTCACGTGTTTAAAGCGTCCAAAAAATCCACCAAAACCCAAACCAACATAGTCTGAACGTTTGCATCTCTGCTTCAATGTCAGGACATGGAGGAAACAAAAGCAGTGGTGTTACACAGCTTTCTGCAGGTCACAGGAGGAAGCAGAGCCCAGTCAGGCTGGAATTCAAAGCCTCTGGCTCTCAGGACTCTCTTCCCTTCTGAAAGCAGAGCCACCCTTATCAGAAACAGAAACCCTATGAAGTATTTAAGCCCCAACTTTTTATCTGGGATACTCTATGTTTCTTTAAGATATAATCAAGTTTTGCACAACTCTGGATTTATCCTCAAAGGGAAAAAAAAAAAAACCCAACAAAGTTATCTCAGCCAGAATTTATCCCAGACCCTAAATCTCTTTCTGTACCGTCTTTAAAAGCTTGCAGCTTTGGAGAGGAGAGTAAATGAAGGTGGTAATCATGATGGCAGGAAAAAAGGGAAAAGAACTGAAGGAAAATCTGTGAATAATCAAAAAAGGGTAAGGATTCAGCTACAGCTCTGACTCCCTACCCAGACCTTCACCAGAGGCTGAGTGACCTCAGTCTGGGAGCAGGAGCTCCAAGTGGGATAACTAAGTGATTCTGTGAACCTCTTTCTATCCAGGGAGAGGCTGGCCTGTTAAAGTGGCCAATAAAGTGAGCTCCAGTGAGTGACTGTAGGGCACAACCAGTCTTACCCATGCAGCCTTCCTCTTCATCAATAAACATCTTGGATTTCAGCACGCGCTTCCTCTTCCTCTTCCTCCCTCCAGCTGACACCTGGGGGACATGGCAGCACTGTGAGAAACCAGGAGCTCCTCCCTCATTACCTGAGAGCAGGTAATCACTCCAATCTGCTCTCACCTCTGAGGATGCAGGCTCCAGCTCAGTTTTCAGAGCAGGTTCAGGGGGTGGAGATGGAGCTCTCTCTTCCTCGGGTGTGGGAGAGGGTGGGACATCTGCAAAGAAGAAGAACACCTTGATGGCACACAGGTCTGATACTACACACTGCAGTTCCCAAAGGAAGGAGGGTGGGATAGGATGGGAGAAGTGCCCTGGGGATTTTTGGTAAGCCAAAAAAATCAGTTCCACCAAGGGAAACTTTAAAAAAACAGGCACAGGAACTGGCAGGTTTTAGCTATACATTTCAGTTACTTGTTAAAAAGAGTGACTGTAATTTGTTTAGAAATTAAATGAGGTGGGGTGTGGTAAAATAGTTGTTGCTTCACTGGTGGTGCTGCACATCCCAAACAATCCATGCTATCAGCTTAACCCAAGAACTAAGTGCAGTACACTATCACACATCCTAAAACCTTCATTTGAAAAGAAGTTCAAAAAAAACCCCACAAAAATCCAAACCACTACAAAAACCAGAAGCTGACTCTCTCACTGTTTGATCTCCTTGCTCTCCTCTGGGTTCAAGGACAGGGACACCGGGCCCCACTCAATGCCACGACTGATCAAAGCAGTCAAGGACACCTTCACACATTTGTAGGGAGCACAGTGGGCTCTGGAGCCGGTACCAGGCACGTCCAAGTGAGACAAGCAGGGCTGCAGAGCGAGGAGCGAGGCAGGGTCACCCTCCTGTGGGGCTGGCAGGGGGACAGAGCTGCGGGAGACCCGAGTGAGAAAGGCTGCCACGCAAGCGCCGGGCTGGGGCAGAGCTGGCACCGCGGGGACAAACGGCTCCTGTGACCCATTGCTTCACCCCACACGGACGTGGCTGCCTGGCTGCCCTCCTCCCACCGCAGAGCCGGGATCTGGAGCTGTCCCGAGGGACTGGGGCAGCGCGAGGAGCCGGCGCTGCCGGGCACGCAGCCAGCCGAGCTCCGCAGGTTACCGAGGGCTGCAGTGACACAGCGCCGGGCTGCCAGGGCCAGCAATAAATCACACTGCTCCAGCAGGGGCCCGGCCTCCCAGCGCTGCAGAGAGCAGGCAGGGGAATGCAAACAGAGGGATAACACCACTGCGCTTCACCCTGCTCCGGGGGCACGGCCGCAGCACGGTGCTGGAAGTGTGCGCTGCCCAGGGGCTGCGGGCAGCTCTGGGCTCTGTGCCCATCCCAGTCTCTCACACGGACCCTGGGCTCATCCCAGTGTCACACACAGACCCTGGGCTCACCCCAGTGTCACACACAGACCCTGTGCCCATCCCAGTCTCACACACAGACCCTGGGCTCATCCCAGTGTCACACACACTCTGTGTCCATCCCAGTGTCACACACACCCTCCCCAGACTGCCCAGCACCAAACCTGCACCACCACTGCCAGCCTGGCCTCTCTGCAAGTATCTCTGGGAGAGGACAAGCTGAGAGGGCTGAAAACCAGCCTGGTGAAAAGCCTCTGCCGTGCTCAAGCAGGGGCTGCTGAAGGCATTGTGAGTGGGCCAGCTCCAAGAGATTCCTTGGGGGAAATCTGGGCTTTTTTCAGCTTCCTTCAAACAATTTCCCCAGCTTTTGGCAGGCAGAAGGCACCTTCTCCTCACGTCAGAGTGTTTAGGACTACTATCAAGCTCTTTTATTACTTTATTATCCTCTTCTAGCCAACACAGCCCTCTGACATGTGATAACTCCTGAGTCAACCACTAGCTGCTGCCCACAGTTTGCTCAACAGCAACAGCTGCATGAAATAGATACAAGTTGGGCAACTGGACGGACCAAAGATGTAAATCCTGGCTTTGTTCGGTCTGCTCTGACCCTGCCTGGAAAAACTGTGAGAAGCTTTAGTGCTTCTGCTGCGGCTCTCCAAAACCCAGGGAGTTTGTAGGTCACAGTGCCACTGAAATCACCCTCCAAAGTGGCTGTAAAACACTTGTCAACACTGAGAAACGCTGCCTGTGTTGGTACAGCTGAGGCTGCCAAACCTCCTGTCCTCTGTGGGAGCATTTGTGGAGTTTGTTCTGGCACTGGAAGCAAAACAACCTGCAGTGACTAAGGAACCCTCATACCCATATAACTTTTTAATGAAAAATCATTTAAATGGAGAGGATTGTGCCTTATGCCCTCTGTGTGTTTCCAGAGTGGTACAATGTGCTGATGCTGCTGTAAGGAGAGCTTATTCAGGGCTGCTTTTAGTACAGACTAACACAGAACTAGGCAGAAGACCCGGCCTGACATGGAGCTGCCCATAAGCACTTCACATCAGCCACGCAGGCTGAGTTTCACCCCCAGAGAACCTTGCTAAGTGTGCCTGTCACTCCAGGCCCCCTCTTGCTCACTGGTGCTGCTGATTCAAGTTGCCCCTTCTCTCTGGATAAACCCGTTCCCAACCTTTCCAAGGACAGATGCTCTTCCAGTCCAGCTGCTGTACATATATATATATATTTTAAATTTTTTTTTTCATCCAACTCACAGTCTTCTACTTCTGTACTCAATACAATGTTACCAGTTTGGACTCATTAAAAATATTCCAAACAATTCAAATCTGTCTTCTTTCATGTGGTTGGGTTTAGAAGGGCAAGCAGCAGGACCAAAGAGCTGAGTTCTCTCAATTCTCATTTACTCTTTTCAAAGGGCAAACCCAGTGATATCCAAATCTGTATACACGTGCTGTAATTTGCATAAATTTACAATTCTAATGCACAGCACAAAGAAGTGAAGAACAAAGAGGGTTCTGATGCAGGAGCAGCAACAGCAGTGACAAAAAACCTCCCCAGTGCCTGACCACCCTCTCGGGGGAGAACTTTTCCCTACCATCCAATCTAAACCTGCCCTGACACAGCTCCAGCCCTTCCCTCAGGGTCTATCCTTGGTCACTAAAGAGAATGTAAATCTTGGAATAAATGAGAGCAGGAGGCACCCCACTCAAAAGCATTAATTGTTAAACACGTGCTGAGGTCACACAGGTGTCCCATAGGAGACCACAGAGTTCTAACATTCCAAACTCCTGCCTGACCTCACAGGATGTGGATGAGCTGAGAGATTCCAGCCAAGCAAGGATGGGCTGATTTCAAAATTCCCTCCTCAGAGCTAAACAACTCAGCTTGTCAGCAGGGGAGTGATGAGGAAATGGAAAGACAAACATTTAAAGAAATAAATACCAAAGAGTGTGGGCATATATGTAATATATATATATATATATATATTTTATAGCCACACTGAAATGGAATTAAGGCTGATCACAAGAACAGCTTCCTGAGAGATTTATCATCCTATGGAATAGTCTAAGTAGTGATACATACCTGATGAAAAAGATAATTTGCAATTATGTGGGCAGCAGGGAAACTATGAAAACAGGCCTAGAGGTGGCATGGATAATGCAAAGATACCAACAGCAGCCACCTCTCCCTGGCACTGCAGATATTCCTGATGTCCTGGCTGTTGCCCATGTGCCAGCCACACAAAATGAGGAATCAGCTCTGGCTCCCCCAAGGGACTCCACCTCCTCACCAGTACACCCCATTTGCTGTTTCACCTTCTTTTACTCTACGCCAAACTGGTGGTTTCAATTACTCTGTAACTGTCTGTAATGATCCCCAAGTTCCTTTCCTGAGCAGTTTGCTGGATGACTGTTCCACTTAGCACATACTCCCGAGCTCAATTCCAATTTATTTCCCAGTTATCTGTATTGAACGGCATTTGTCACCTCAATTATCCAAATTCCTTGGGATCCAGCCCTGCTGTTCCTCATTACGAGCCCAAATCTTGCCGAGTTCTGGGCACCCCACTCCTGTCACGCCACCGAGGAGACGCACAGTCGCATCGGATATGGCTCAACTGCTTTGCCTCCAACTTCCCTATTATCCCTTTTCTTTCTGCATGTCTTGCTTCCAGCACTGTCTTCCAAACCCCTTCTATGAGCAGACAGAATAAAGACACTAAAAATGACCCTGTGGGGAGAGGGAGGCCACTTGTGAGTGTTCCCTCCCCACGTGAACTGGCTCTGAGCAGCCCTATGGTTCTGGAAGGAGCGCTATCTTTCACAAGAGATTTGGGAACCTCCTTCCCACACAGGGGCACTGGCAGCACACTTGGTGAGGAGACAGCCAGGTCTGAGCTAAGCTTCAACAAAGACTAAATCTTTGTTTTGAGACATCTCAACTCCATGCCCAAGTGCTTGCAGCACAAAGATAAACAGAAAGCTCAGGCTACAGCCATTTCCACGGTCTTTAGTCCTTTAAACTATTCCCTCAATCACTGACCAAGGGATTTGGAGAGTAATGTTTTGGAAATCAGAACCCTGACCCACATGCCTGATTGTTTACAGATCTTCTTACCTTCCTCATCACTGCTGTCAGACAGAAGTTGTTTGATTCGCTTCCTCTTTTTCTTGACATTTTCGGGATCCCTTTCCTCCTCATCATCTGACCTATCTGCTCTCTTCGTTTTACTGCCACAAAAAGTAAAGGGAAAAGAAAGGGAATGAACACCCATCATCTCTCATGTGTGCACGAAAGCATCACGTGCACTTGGACAAGCACACTCCTTGTGGAAGGAAATCAAATGCCTCTTAAAAACATGAGCATCATGTGCTCTGAACTGTACACTGTACACTGAACTGAATGCTGAACACTCACAGCACAACCAGGCATAGGTGCACGAGCCTTTCCAGGCCTCCCATCCTTCCCCACATGCAGCTCTCCAAAACAAGGAGGATTACTTTAGCCCCTCTGCAGTTCAGCCCAGTGCCTCACCTCGCTTGGCCACAGCAGCCTGGCAAGAGCCTACTTCTGATCTTGTCTCTTTAGCTCAGGCTCCCAGTGTCCCCAAAAGCATCACTCAGAAGCTCTTTTGACAGACTGCTTGCCACTGACTGACTATGAGGTAGTGTCTCAGAATCCTGGAGCCATTTTTAAAGACTACTGGAAAAATAAAATAGCTTCTTTCTTTTTAATGTTGGCGAGACGTGTCAGACGAACAAGCCTGGAGGCTAAAGGCCCACGTATCCTCCAGGAGCTGGGACAGCCCAAGTGGCCTTCCCAGCTCCAGGCTGCCAACACCTCCAGGCCCTTGGCTTCTTGGACAAGACTATCACTAAGACAAGCAGTTAGTGCTAGCTGCCATGGTGGGCTGGGTGGTGTGCTTACCTATTCCCTTAGAAATGGATTGAGACCACCAATTAATTACTCATAGGCCACCAGAGAGCCATCAGACTGTAGTGATTCTTTGTCTCTGTCAGTTTGGGTTGGATTAAACACAAAGGGCTGAGCTTAAAATTAACTTGGAGCCTCAGCCCAAAGTAAACCCGTGGCATTGAAAGCAGCCCTACATGAGCTATGGAGACCAACAAGCACAACTTTGTGCTGCAAGCTGTGTACATACAGGCTGGGGAATATCCCACCTTCCCTGCAGGACAGGTGCTCCTGCCAGCCCTCCCCAGGCTGCCTGCAGGGTCTCTCCCAGGCTGCTCACAGTGGGAGGCTGTCTCGTGGAAAGCCATCCCCTCCCATGTGCGATGGCACCCACGGCCCTGAGGCACTACAGCAGCAAATGGCAAAGACACACCAGGAAAGAATCCTGACAGATCAGTTTAGTCAGGTTTAACACACTTCAGTAGATGGAAACAGGAGGTGAGCCAGCAGTGTACGACCAGCCAGGTGCATGCAGGCTGTCCCCAAGCAGGGGACACAAAAAGGGCCCCTGAAGGCAGACCCACCTTTTCTTGTCCTTTTGCTGAATTCTGACAGACTCTGTTTTCTTCCCAGGTTTCTCTGCTACAGTATTAGATGACTCTGGTTCTGCTACAGCAACTGAAGGCTTCACTGCTTCTTTCTCCTCCTTTGGCTGCTCAGGCACAGAGTTGGCTTTGAGTTTATCTGTGAATAAACCATTCAAAAAGAACAAACACTGGGCATTCAGTCTGAATGACAACTTACAAAGCAGCTGGCTAGCTCTGTGCACCAAGACTACAGCCAGCACTACCCATCGTGTATTTGGGGATCTAGACCGGCCAAGCTGTATCAGACATGGGAAAAAGAAGGGCATGCTTTAATTTCTAGGTGATTTTCCATGCTCCTGCTGTTCCTGATGTCAAGCCACCATGTGTGCTGCAGCAGTTAAAGCTCTGTGGAAGAGGACTGGGAGGCAGTGGCAGGAGAGGCTGCTGGGAGGGCCACAACATGGAGCCAGTGCCTTTCTGGGAGTGCTGGGAAAACAGGCTGGCTGCTTCCCTGGGCAGGGGCAAACAGCACTGGAACAACAGCTCCCTTATTTATGATCAACAGCAGAGAGACCAAGGACCCCAGTGCAGTTAACCCGGGACTTTCTGGCACTGCTGGAACCTTTGAAGCCAGGAGAGACATGCACGTAGGGAATAAATCTTTCTCCTGGAATCCCACCCTCTGTTCCATACACATAATCATTTCCAGTTCTGCTCAGTCTGCTCCTTCTCTGCAGCCACCCCACAGGTTGCCTCTGTGAGCTCCCTGACAGGACTCAGCAGAGAAGGGAACCCTTTGGGAATGATGGAAGTGCATCCCCAAAGCCTCCCCCATCACCACTGGGTCACCTTCACCATGCCTCTTTGGGTTCTCAGCACATGAACTTTGGTGCAGGGCTCTCCTCAGACCTTCAGGATTGACTCCAGTTAATTGTGGTGACTGTCCTTGGGCTGAGCGTGTCCTCAGCTCCCCCAGTCTCACCAAAACAGGGACTCCAAGAGTCCCAGCAGGGCTGTGCCTCGTCTGCTCCGTGCTGGAACTGTCCCCTGCAAGCTCTGACAGACGTCTGTTAGAAAGGGAACTGTGCTGTTTACTCCCTCCCAAAACTCCTCTTTGAAGCCTCTTGTACTCTCTGCTGAAGGGAATCTTTGAAGGAGGTCCCACAGCCCTTTTCCAATATTCCAATATTTAAAAGCTCCAGCATCATTTCTTTTGACTTGGGTAATTCAGAAGGGACCTGCAGAGGCCACCTAGTCCAAACCTCTGCTCAAAGAGACAGGCCACCCCTCAATTTCATTCTCCATGCATCAGCCCTTCAGCTTTTAGGAAAGAAATTAACCCTAAAACTAACAATGGGCTCCTCAGTGCTGTGTGATGAAAAGTAAGCACCATTAGCATGCCCTGCAAAACAGGTTTTGGCAAACATCTCACCAATAGCTGGTCTTCCAGCCAGGAGAACTCACTTTAAATCAGATTTCTTCTGCACTGAAAATCCTTCCTGGGTTAGTCTGCTCAAATATGTCATTTTAATTGATCTCCCTCCAGCAAGCTTTTTGTCTGAAAAATTCCACTGAAAACTCCTAATTTTTGCTTTAAAAGCTGTGTGCTAAAACATTAACCCCTTTGAGTGCAAAAGAGCAGAAGAAAGTATGGAAAATTATTAGGAAAGAGGGGATATAAAGAAAATCCAATGAGTTTGGTAGAGTGGGGATGGGGAGGAAGAGTTCTGCTTCTTTCTGCATGGCTCTAGTACAAAACACTTGATTCTACTGATTATTTTTAAATTTCTACCCAGCTTAAATAAAGTATAATTAAAAAAAAAAACCCTTCAAATAATCCTCAGGTTTGGGGTTTTTTTGATTTGTTGGTTTGTTTTTTTAACTACAACAGGCTGTTCCCTGACCATGATGGCCTCTGAAAACAGAAAAGCACTTACTCATTGCAGCTTTTCCAAAGAAGTTGTTCATGATGCTGTTCTTTGTTAGTGGCTTGTTGCTTGCTGCAGACACCTGGAAGCAAAGAGGGGAATAAGCACAGGAATTGCTCCCAGCCCTCAAGGTGCTCCCACTGCCTTAGATTTTAGCAGATTTAGCAAATTCTCTGTTTTGGAGAATTTGAAGGTACTCCTTAGCCACCACGTGCATCAAAGGGGCCAGAGTGAGTTCCTGAGGACTCCTTAGCCAGGCCTGCAGATCTGACTTGGGGGACATTCATTCCCATTACTGAAATAATGCTTGGGACTAGGGTCAGCTTCCAGGGAAGAACTGCTCTGTTTGCAAGCCATCAGCGCCTCAGTGCACAGCAGCCAACAGAGGAAAGACCAGGGATTGGCCAAACCAAGAAGGCTTTATCCAGCTCCTCTGGCACCTAGGCTGTTTGCAAGGAAACATCACTGCTCTGCTGCACCAATGCAACCACCACAGTGAGAAATCACACCCACACACACCCACACCACCAAAGAAAGTACAGCCTCCTAATCCAGCTTATTTTCATGCAAATAAAAGGTAACCAGACATTAAAGTTCCCAAAATACACACACTTCCCCAGTTCTAAACTCCCTGTAAAAACCAGGGAAAGGAACCCAAACGTTCTCAGTTGTTATGGAAAGGCCAAACCATCCACAGGGAGTGTTACCATTTTAACATTTAACCATTTTTCTGGCCACATCGCTTTAAAAACAATTATACTAATTAAAATGAAAACTTAATCCTATCCTGGAAAAGCAGCAGTCCAGAAGATAAACAATTTAGTCTTGCACAGGTCAAGGTCCAAAACTTCCCTCACCCACCAAGTTTAAACACCTTGATACTTTTAAGATCTGGGCTTCTCAGGTTTCACTTATTGCTCAAAACAAATCCTTTTAAGCACAATGGAGAGAGCAAGATCCTCAGTGGTGTGTACATTGGGACAGCTGGAGACAGCAGAGCAATTGTAGCTATGCTGCCTGAGATCCAGCTCATTGGGGAATGTCAAAGCTATGGCAAATACCCTTCTGTGGGGACACCCAGAGTGTGGCACGAGGGGATTTTGCCCAGGTGACAGTTAAACACTTCCACAGGAGCCCTGAGCACCCCCAGTGGGAGGTGGGCTCGGCAGGAGGAGCAGTGCAGGGGTGGCTGAGCTCCCCAGGCGGTGTGTGAGTGGATGGTTAACGCCATGCTGAGGTAACTTACACCTGGGGCCTCCTTGGCCTCCGCCTTGGCCTCCTTAGCTGTGTCCTGGCCTTTGGCTGCTGCTTTGGCTGCAAACATGCCCATGATGCCTTTCTGCTGCTGTGCAGGGGGCTTGGCAGCCCGGGGCCCGTGGCCATTGACAGTGCTGGTGGCATCGGAGTCCCTCTGCCTCGGGGGGCTCTGCGCGGGCGCCGGCGCTCGGGGGGGCTCGGGCGGCGTCCTGGGCACGGCGGCGGCGCAGTGGATGGCACTGAACCTGCGGGATGGATGCAGGCAGGGAGGGAAAAACCCCATTAGCCTCCTCAGCTCTGGGTGCTCACCTCGCCTTCCCCCCTCCTGCAGGCTCCTCCGGGCCTGCGCTCTCCTGTTATGGAAAAAGGAGCAATTGAATCTGTGCGTGGGACAAGAAAGAAAGGCTGGCACAGAGCAAGAGACCTCTGATGAAAATATCAGCTGAACCTGTCAGCAAGAGCCACAGTATTCATGTGTCAAACAAGCTGTGCAGCTTTCCTGGGGGCTAAAAGCCTTCTCCACACCCAGGCTGGACAAGGAGCAGGCTGCATTTTATTCCTAAACAGGTTATGCTCTCTAAAGCCTGTGGCAGAAGTTGTATGGCTGTGTGAGGACCTAAAACATTTACAGCTTTCTGATGCTCTGACAAAGGCCACAGCTGCTGCAACAAGCAGCCCCACTCGGCCAGGTAGGCAAACCCCAGCTGAAACTCAACTATTGAAATGGCTCAGAAAATACCCACAGCATTCCGATTTAACTACACAAAGTCATTTCCAAGTAATCCCTGAGAGCAAGAAGCAGCTTGGATTATAATGGTCTGAAACTTGATTGTTTGGGGATGCAGAGACACAAGAACCAAATGACGTGCTCACAGTTACAGCACAGCTCACTGACAGACAGGAATAGCAGCTCCCAAAAATAGCTGAACTCTGCTCCCCACTGTGCAAATCACAGGCGACGCTTTCCAGATTTCCCACAGAAATGCCACAAAAGAGCCCAGCTCACGCCTCCCAGCCCACTGAATTACACAGCATATTTTCATTTGCCTAAGAAATGAAGCAGCCTTCTGCCAGTTCACTTCTGTGCCTCAGCACTAGCTGCTCACATGCACAGTCCACTTCTACTCCCATCAGGATCTGTATTAACAAAACAACACCATCTCCACAGCATTCCCAGGCTGCAGCAGCAACCTCCTGACATTCAAACCTTTAAAGGAAGGAAAACAGACATTGAAGGAAAATAATCCTACTCTCCTTTACACTTTCAATCTGTTTTTAATGTGGTTAATAATACAGCTCTCAGGGCAGCGTGATCTCCTACTCTAAACACCACCAACCCTCCAATATATAACATTGTCACAAATAATATTGTCAGTGGTTATGCTGATGTGCAGCAGAGCTCAGCTAACCTTCCCATATTTCCAAGTCTGCTTGCCTTGATGCTGATGTGTCACTATACCTTCATGGGCTTGACCTAAAATTCACTAAATAACCACAGAAAAAACAGGCAATAGTTGGACTAAGCTCTGCAAACAAGGAGCTACTTCTGTTTGGAAAGCTGGGAATGGCAACAGGCATTAAACCCAGATACTGGTATTAGTTAGCACATCTAACCACCTCCACTGTCTTCACTGCAAAGGAGGTGCCACAGAAACCCAGAGGAGAACAAAGATCCTTGTCCCAGAGCTGTGAAATATCTGCACAGACAGGGAGGTTCTGTTTGCTACACACCTCACACAATCAAACCTCTGGCTTTTGCAGGTCCTGCAGGAATCTTTTCCCAAGTGTCACAGACAATCCATGCAGCTGACAAGAGAGGGGGAATGGGATCAATCTGTATTTACTTCAGCCAGGTCACAAATGAAGAAGGTGCACTTTTTCTTAGTTTCCTAGGGAAATCCTGCTTCAAAGCTGGATTTACAGGCAGGCTTCAGAGAGCTGTGTCAGAGCCTGGATTATCTAAACCTTCTGGAAGTTTAAATCCCAAAGGATACAAGCATCCCTAAGGCACAATGTGGATCACCATGCTGGGGTGCCTGAGAGTGACCAGAGTGGAACAAGGCAACTGCAGCCACACCCAGGGCATGTGGCTCTGCCGAGGTGGGATCACCCAGCTCCTTCCAGGGCATCCACCCAAACACACAGCGCCTATTTTCTCTGCCACTCTCTTGTCAACACTCTGGATAGAGGCACATTTCTCCTCTCAGATTCTATACTCTTCCTATGACACACCCTTCAGGCATCCCCTTCAAACCAGATTGGTCATGGCACCGTGCATCCCCATGACTTCAAGCTGAAGCTGTCCTGGTGGGAACAGCACACAAGTGAGAAGCTGCAGCTGCTCAGGAGGGAGCCAGTGACTCCTGGGGGCTGCATCCCTCCCAGCTCTGCTCCAGCTCCACCAGCAAGGACACTGGTGCTGCCTGGACTGCTCTGTGTGCTGCTCCTACGTCTCAGAGATCACAGCCTACTCTGAGCTGCAACAAACCCACAGAGAACAAAGCCCAGCTCCTGGAGAAGGAGTTCCTGTGAGATATCTTCAGAGAACTGGACTGGATGAGTCCAGAAGATGAGAACACAGTTTCACAAAACAGAAAGCAAACTCCTGTAAATGCTTTGCTGAGCACATCATTCATGGTTTTATCAATTTTGTGTTCTGTGTGGCTGAGAACTGGATTAAAATGTCGTGATTAAGTGTGGCCTGGGAAAGAGAGCAATGTTTGCAGCCATGAGACAAGCAAGGCACTGGAACAGTCTCCTTGTCAGAGTAAGGACCAAGTGAACCAACTGTGAGCTCAGTTTGCACAACAGCCACACAATGTGCTCTTTGGGCACTGCTCTGGCAGGACTTTGAGGATATCTTTTCCCAGCTTTCTAGAAGTCCAGGCCTATCTAGTGAGCACTGAAGTGGAGTCTGGAAGTGCTTCAGAAGGCAAAGGGAGCCAGGACTCACTCACTTGCTGCAGTGCTGCAGGTTTGCTTTGACGATGTCGTAGTCGGTGTTGTAGAGGGGGGAGCTGTCCTTGAGCAGGGCCTTCTGGATGCTGTACACGTGCACGCTGGCAATTGTGGACAGCTTGGACTTCATGGCTGGGGAAAAAGAGAGGAAAAGAAAAAAGCCCTCTATTGGCACACCCAGAAAGACTGGCAGACTACTTGACAGCAAAACATGAATACAAAAAGGCCCGACCACACCTTCTCCCAACGCTCACTAATGAGGAATTCAAGGCAGCAAACTCCACAGGCCTGTCACGTTTTCCACTACACACTCTTGGGCTTACGAGGGATCTCTCTGTGTTTGCCTTCCAAACATCCAGTGTTTGGGATGCAGAATAGCTGAGGGAGTACCTAAAGCTGAGGCAGAAGGTAGCTGGTCACTGCTCTCTGCCCCTGGGGCTGTGTCCAGCACCACAGTGTCACCCCTGGAATGAAAACTTTATCTCTTCCATGCTACTCAGACTGCAACCCCCTTGAGGCGAGGGTTGGCTTTCAGGAATTCTTTGTTCATTGCTTATATTGTTCTTTCCACAGAGTCCTGGTCTGAGGCTGAGCTTCTAGGCACTGTAAAAATACACACAGTAATCATTTTTTGGGGCCAGTCCTAGACTATGCAGCCCTACTCCCATCAAAAATCTCAGCCTCTTCCAAATATAAGTCATACCTTTGGCCTGCCTTCCAATACAAAAACCATGAGCAACCCTTTCCTCCACAGCAAAACAGCGTTACACAGCACACATAACTCAACAAACATGACACAGAGTAGCTGCACTGCCTGACAATCTCCTGCTCCGAGGAAAACAGCCCGAGCTAGAAATCCACTTCAGATTTCCAACAACGCAAGTCCTTCAAGCAAAGTGAGGTCATTAGCTCACATCCTGAAGGTCACAAATACCACAGTGTGCTCTCAAGTGCCAAAGATGTTATTTGAAAGTGATGAAGAGCCTGAAGCTGCGTTTCAGTTCTGTGGGTAAGATTTCATCAGCAGGACCAGAAAGATGGTGAGACAACAGACAGTGCACTCAGCAGTGTTGCAATGGGGGTTTTTCCACCTTGCACTCACAAAAGTGAGGTAAATGTTCCATGAGAAGGTCTTAACACCCACGGGACTCGGAGCAAAGACTGCAACTGCACTGAACAAATAATCACAATTACCAGTTTCAGCATTCTTGGGGGGCCTGAAGGCTCCCAATTGTTCTGAGACTCTACTAGTGTATTGCTGTCTCCCTGCTGTCAGTGGCAGGGAGGTGGAAAAGAACCACTGACAAAAAAAAAAAAAAAAATCAGACTCAATTCACAAGCCTGAAGGTATTCAGCTGCTGGCTCAGATACGCCAAATTCTGAGAAACAGCTGGTACAAAAAGTACACACCTGACCCCAAGAGCCTGGCTGGGCATTTACGTGCAGATGGCAAGTTCTGAGCTTTGCTCGTTTTGCTGTTCTTTCAAAGAAAAAAGTTAAAGCCACAAGACTTTCCCAGCCTGCTTACCTTCCAGTTTATCCTCCCTCACTACTGCGACCTTGTGGCACTGCAAAAAAGAAACACAAAAGCTCTTTAAACCTCAGGTTGTATACAAGACTGCTACTTTCAGTTATTAACCAGCAAAGTCTAATGATTATTGTAGCACAGAACAGTGCCAATGCCTTTAAACACTCATCAGTTTTTAAAGCTCTGAAACGTGCTCTCTGGCCAGTCTTTAAGGTCTATACCTCTCCAGGACATCCAACAGGTTGTGGTTAATACTGGGAGGATCCAGAGAGACAGACTGAAAACCCCACCACTAATTCTGTGTTAAACAGAAACCATGGACCTGTCTGAAATCAGGGAAAATCCTGTTAAATTCAGGCTATAAACATGACACTGCCTGTGCAGCTTTAGTTAAATACATCCCATTATACAGAACTAAAGCAATGAATAACTACCTTCCATTTCAGGCAGATTTGGGGATTAAAAGACAATATTCCATGCATGTGAACCAGTTTATTATTTAGTAGAACAAAAAAAAAAGGTTTGTTGTTGTTTTTTTTCCAATCTACAAATAAAAGCCAGGACACCCTGAGATTTACTATTCCTAAAAGAAGACTGGATCATATTGTAATAGGTATTTGTAATATATTGTAATAGGTATTTTAAAACACTTAGTGGAATGTCAAAGGCAGTTAGTGTTTGGCTTTAAAATTTATCTGTGGGCAAAGGGGAACAGACACTGAATTTTTTCATCTTCTTTTAAAAACCTCTGGGGTATCTGCCTGAAGTTTTAGCTGACATTCCTGAAAATCTGACAAGCAGCAATGAAGAAAAAGAAATTAATTAAGCAGCAATTCCTTTGCTTAATAAGCTGAGGCGCTTTAAATATAAAATACTGTAAATTAATTTAAGTTTCTTTGGTTTACCAGGATTAAAAAGTTGCTTTAATTAGGCAACAAAAGAGCACGTGGCACGAAAAACCACAGGCAGGTAAGACAACAACCAGAGATTGGCAGTCTGAGTGCAGAAAGCAGCAAGGAAAGAGCAGTGTTAAGGGGAGCGCTCCAGAGGGATTTCCATGGCTCTCCCTGCAGGAGTGCTGCAGCTGCATCCGCAGCATTCCGGCTACACCTACTGCCAGCAGGCAGCAGTGCAGGGCTCTCCCAACAGATTCGAAAATAATGGGGAACCAAAGTCGCCTTCATATAGCTTCCCTTGGTGGAAGATTCCCTGCCTGCCTGTGCCAAGGGACTGCAATGACACGAGTTTTAAACCATCCAAACCATCCAGCGACACTGTGATCTTATTTTAAAAACACACAGGCTGCTAAGACAGAGTTAACAAATAATTATTTGTTCCTACGTCAGAAGTCACCTGTTTGCTTCAGATACATTAAATATAACAGCACAGGTTGGCAGTCCCCTGGACAGCTCTAGTGAGCCAAAAGATTTGTTATTTTCAAAGGAAATGGGGGGAAAACCTTGAACTCAACCTTAAACTTGAGCTGTAAATGTGACACTACTCGTGCAACTTTAAATATTCCATCATACAGAACTAATGCAGTAAATAATAACCTTCCAATGCAGGCAGATTTGGAGACTGACAGAATATTTCATGCATGTGAAACAGTTTGTTGTTTAGGAGAACAAAGAAAAAGGTTTGTTGGGTTTTTTTCCAATCTACAAATAAAAGCCAGGACACCCTGAGATTTACTATTCCTAAAAGAAGACTGGATCATATTGTAATAGGTATTTGTAATATGTTGTAATAGATATTTAAAAACACTCAGTGGGATGTCAAAGGCATTTAGTGTTTGGCTCTTAAATTTGTGGGCAAAGGGGAGCAGACACTGAATTTTCCCATCTTCTTTCAAAAGCTTCTGGGGTATCTGCCTGACATTTTAGCTGACATTCCTGAAAATCTGACAAGCTAAGTGCATTAAGCAGCAGTTCCTATGCTTATTCAGCTGAAGCACTTTAAATGTAGAATGCTGCTAATAAATTCCTGTTTGTTTTATTCACCAGGACTAGAAAGCTGGTTTGATAAGACAGCTTGAGCTGTAGCTGTGCTGCTCTGTTGGTTACCATTCCCTGCCACCTGAGCTGTCCCTCCAAGCCCCCCTCAGACACTGCCAGGCCACAGCAGAGCCTGGCACGTGGCTAAGCTGACCTCAGAAGGGCCCCTCCACAAGGCTGTGTGATCTCTGCTGCCCAACAGCAGCACGGGCACGGAGCGGGGTGCTGGCAGGGTCTGAGGGAATTGGTGAGGAACCCTGGGGTGTTATCCAGCACTCTGCTCCCAAACCATGGCCAGCTGATCCTTCTGCCTGCTGGGACAGACCTGAGGCTCCTTCTGTCCCTGCCCAGGAGCCCTGGCCGAGTGCAGCCCCTGCTGCAAGAAGCCAGTGCAGCTCTGATCCCAGGAGCACAGAAGGAGGCAGGAGATACCACAGGAAAGGCTCCCAGACAGACGGAGCCCAGAGAGAGGGGAAGCACTCACAACGTGTCCATTCTGGAGGAGGTTCCCTGCCAGCAGGTAGGTGACGTGCAGCTGAGCTCCCGAGTTCTCCCTGCGCTTCCTCTCCACGTAATCGTAGAGCATCCTGCACAAAAGAAACAGGGTCAGCCAGAGAGCAGGGGAGAGCAGAGAGCCTGCCAGGGAGGGCTGCACACACTGCAGAGCCAGCCTGGCATGATGGACACTGCCAACAGGAACACGGTTTGCTCAGGATTCATTTTATTTCCTAAGGGGTAATTTTCTGAGACCCTTGCTCCTCTGCCACTGTGGAGAATCCCTGTCCAACAACTACAGAAACCAAAGGGCAAATACATTTAATAGTGTATATAATACATAATAATACATGTAATTAATATAATGTAATGTAATGAAATGTAATGTCATATAATATATATTATATGTAATACATAATAATATTATAGGTGTCATAAATTATATATTATATATGTAATTTATATAATGATGTATTTTTAATATAAAATACATTGAATAGTATATATATTTAATATATTGTATGGATAATACAGATAATAATGTATTTTTAGTATAAAAATGCATTTATATTATAGTAAAACGTATAATAATACATAATAAATAATATAATATAATATAATATAATATAATATATTCCATAGATATATTACATCTATAATATACTATATAATAATATATATTATTTCTATATATTAGGTATATTATATATAATATATATAATATTACATATAATAATGTCTTTTTTAGTATAAAAATACATTTACTAATATATAATACATATAATAATACATATAATGTATAATAATATATATTACATATATATTACATCTCGAATATACTATATCATAATATAATATTATTTTTATATAATATGTATATTATATATAATAATACACAGAATAACGTATTTTTTAGTATATTATATATACTAATACATATAATAATGTATTTTTTAGTATAGAAATGCATGTAATAGTGTGTAACAGTGGGTCTCACAGCCCCTGGGCAGCTTGTTCCCAAGCCTCTCCTCCAGAAAGGCATTCCTGCAGTCCCTGAGAGAGGAACTGGGGACTCTTTGGTGCATCCCTGCCCAGCAGGGCAGGCAGGCACAGGGAGTGACACCGCTGAGAGGACAGGCAGGGCTGGTAATGCTCTCCAGAGGAATATTTTAAGGGGATGGGAGCAGGAATGAGCATGGAACTGACAGGAATTGTGCAGGCTCTGGGGGATGCAGGACACCTACTGTTTGGCCTGGTTCACATGGACGCCCAGCGTGTAGCTCAGCCATTTGTAGGTCACCTGGAAAAGGGAAAAAACCAAAAAAAACCCGCTTCAGTAAGGAAACCTCGGCCTCTCAGTTCAATCAGTGGAATTCCTTAGACACCCTCCTCCCTTCCATGGCAAAAGTGAGAGCCCTCACTGAGCACTCTGAATTCCTAGGAGCTGTCCCAAAAGGTGTGGGGGGAATTTCTGCTCCTCTCCTGGCCCGGGAACACCACCGTGCCAATCTCAGGATGTCAGGGCTGCAATCCCAGCCCTGCCCTGTCATTTTGAGCAGGTACATCCTTGACACCTGCTCCTGCTCCTGCTCTGCCCTTTTAAACCATGCCCCAGGCTCCGGACTGCAAACACAACAATTAAATTCTTGTTTGGCTACATTGTTCTTGGAACAAGCCACAAAGCCACAGGCTGAGAACGTTCACATTGTCAGACAAGTTGCACCAACTTTGCCGCACCATTTTCTGGGCAAAACCCATTTCAATTTCATTTCCATTTCATTTCATTTCATTTCATTTCATTTCATTTCCAAATGAATTTTTGAAATAAACGTGGAAAGAAACAGACCCACGCAGAAAACCACCAGCTTTCTGAACTGCCTTCAAAACAGTTAAGGAAGGGGGGAAGAGAGGAAACAGGGGGAGAGGAGGAAGAGAGGGGAGACGGGAGAGGGGAGGAAGAGGAAGAAGGAAGGGAAAAGGAGGAGGAAAAGGGGGAGAAAGAAGAGATGGGTGAATGTAAAGAGGCGAGAAGGAGGAGGAAAGGGGAGGTGGAAGAAGGAGGGGAGAAGGGAAGAGGAAGGAGAGAAGGAAAGGGAAGGAGGAGAAGGAAAGGGGAAGGAGAGAGAAGAGAAGGAGGAGAAGGAAAGGGGAAGGAGAGAGAAGAGAATGAGGAGGAGGAAAGGAAAGGGGCAGCGGAAGGCAGCGGGTGGGAAAGGAGGCAGCGGGGCAGGGGAGGCGGCGGGGGGAACAGGCCGCGGGAGGAGCAGCGGGCAGGGGGAACAGAGGGAGCAGGGGGAGCAGGCGGCGGGCGGCGGGCGGGCAGCGGCGGCACTCACGACACGGTTGTGGTCGGTGACGAACTCGTCGATGTTCTCCAGGTACAGCTCGTCCGCCGCCATGGCCGCACCGGGCCCGCGCTTCCCGCCCCGCGCCTCAGCGCCGCGCGCGCGCCGCCGCCATGGCAACGGCCCGCCAACCACGGCGGCCGCGCGGGGACACGCCGCGGGAAACGCGAAGGCCGAACCGGACCGGTGCCGGCGCTCGACTGAAATAAAAATGAAATAAACGAAATAAACCAAAATCATAAAATATTAAAATAAAATAAAATGTTAAAATATTAAAACAAGATAAAATAAAATAAATAAAATTAAATATTAAAATAAAATATTAAATTAAAATATTAAAATAAAATGAAATAATAAAATGTTAAAATAAAATATTGAAATATTAAAATAAAAATGAAAAATAATAAAATAAAATAATAGAATTAAATAATATATTAAAATAAAATAAAATAAAATAAAATAAAATAAAATAAAATAAAATAAAATAAAATAGCTTCTTAGTGGATTTGGGGAAAACCGAGCTGTGACAGGCAGAAACAGGAGTTCCAAAGCATCCCTGCTCCAGCCCCGAGAGGGGTCAGCGGCTCCGCAGAGCTCGGACAGCAGCGGCACTCCCGTGTCCCGCACGGCAGCGCATCTCCCGGATTTCCCAGCATCTCCAGAATGCCCAGCTCTCCAGAACTGCCCGTGCAGTTCCTGTCCGGGTCGGCAGGTGCCAGCTGGACACCGCAGCACGGAGGGACACGGCCGGGGGACAGTGCCCGGGCTTGTGCCGCCCAGATTATCGCTGCTGGAACCCCAGAACCAGCGGGCAGGAACCCCAACACCCTCCAGGATCATCGAGTGGACTCCTTCCCCCAGCACTGGCAGAGCCACCACTAACCCACGTCCCCAAGTGCCACATCCACACCAGCTTTAAATCCCTCCAGGGAGGGCAGCTCACCTGGACAGCCCTTCCCATGAAGGAATTTTCCCTAATCGAGGCATTTCCTCCCTTTTTCCTCAGGAGCAGAGACTCCCACTGCCCTCATCTCCCTGCCCAGCCTGCACCAGCAGCTCCAAAAGGAGGTGCCAGAAGGGGCTGAGGTAGCTGAAAAGCACCAAATTATCACTAAATCTGTGGGGCAGGGCTGCAGGACCCCGGGAGCAGCGGTGCCCTGGCTGCTGGGGGCACAGAGCCCCAGCAAGGAGCTGCGGTGGCAGTGCCACCCACGGTCACCAGGAGTGTCCCTGGCCCTGGCCAAAGCCACTCAGCCCCCGAGAACTGCAGCAGGATGCAGATCCTGAGCTGAACACAGCAGCTTTGTACCTGGCAAAGGTCAGGGGAGGAAACTGGACAGGTTTGGTGAGTGCTGAAATAAGCTCGGGGTTTATTTTAACAGGTTTTTTAATGGGCTCACAATGGCACTCATATTGCTCAGCTGGCACTGGTTTTGTTTGGCTGATGTCACAAAGCCATCCACATCCTCTTCCTCCTTGTGCCCGGAGCCTGTTCTCACACTCCTGTGTTGTAGGACACTCCTGCTGTCTCTTTTTCCTCATCTCGCCGCAGTTATTCTCGTGACATTCCTGGCCTGACATTTCTGCCTCCTTCATGGGAGGAGTGTGCAGATCTCAAGCACCTCACTCATCTTTTCATTGTTCTGAGCCTCTTTTTCATCTCCTGTTTTTTCTTCCATAAGTTTCCTGCTTTGAGCCCTCTGGGTGGTTCCGTGATGATGTGGGCTGAGGTGCCTGATGAGTGTAAAATTACACTTTTCACCCTCGGGGCTCAGTGTGTGCTGGTCCTGAAGGTTGGCTTAAGGGTACACATGGGTGTAAGAGGCAAGAATTCTCCAGCTGAGGATTCCTTTCCTCTGTATTAAAATGCTGTGGGATCTGCATCTGGTCTCACTCACGCCTGCTTTATGCTTTGTGCATAAATAAAAGACATGAGCTATGTGTAAATTTATATGTATAAATATATTTATGTGCAAAATTTATATATGTATGTATAAATTCATGTGTAAATGTATATGTATAAATAAAAAATATGAGCTACGTGGAAATTTATACATATAAATTTATTTATATGTATGTGCATGAATAGAATTTATATGTATAAATGTATATGTAAACTTATATTTATATATAAATAAAAAATATGAGCTATGTGTAAGTTTACATGTATAAATATATTTATATGCAAAATTTATATGTATATGTATAAATATAATTTATATGTATAAATGTATGTGTAAATGTATATGTATAAATAAAAAATATGAGCTACATGGAAATTTATATATAAATTTATATATATATTTATATTATATTTTATTTATATTTTTATTTGTATAATAAATATATATATATTTATATGTATGTATATAAATAGAATGTATATGTATAAAGGTATATGTAAACTTATATGTATAAATAAAGAATATGAACTATGTGGGCACAAACTGAAACAAGAGAGGTTCGGACTGGACATCAGGAGAAGTTATTAAAATCACAGAAGGGTTTGGGTCGGAAAGGGCCCTAAAGCCCATCCTGTTCCACTCCCCTGCCATGGCAGGGACACCTCCCCCTGTCCCAGGCTGCTCCAAGCCCTGTCCAGCCTGGCCTGGGGCAGCCCTGCAGGTGGGGTCACCCCTGGGCATCTCTCTGGAGCTCCTGAGGAGCTGCCATCACTGCTCTGGCTGAGCTCTCCAGGGGAAAACAGGAGCTTGGAGGAGCGTGGAGCTGTGGTGTTTGCTCCAGGACGGGCCAAAAACCAGCCCTGCCCAGGGAGGTGCAATCAGCACAGAAGCCCCAGCTGAGGTCCCTCTGCCAGGCCAGCAGGAGCTTCCTGAAGTGCTTCCTTACTGCCCCCGTGGGGCACAGCCCGGGGCACAGCCCGACACGTGTGCTTCCCTGGCTTCCTTCCCCTCTGGCACGGCCTTGGGAATGCTGCTGGGATCAATGAGGGGCAGAGCAGCCCTGCCTGGGGGACACAGCCCCCCAGATCCTGCCCTAAAAACTGGGCATCTCAGCCATTCCCCGCAGGGCTCCTGGGGAAAGGTGCATTCTGGAATAAAATGTTTGTCCTTTGCTGAAATAACATGTTTGGAATAAAATGTTTGTCCTCCCTAGCAAGGTGGCTGGTGCCTGTAGTGCCTGGGAGATGCTGAGTAGGGATGGGGTGATGTTGGGTGATGTTTCTAAGGTATCTCATGGCACCCTGGTGCCACCAATAAAGCCAAAATTAAAGCCACAGCTTAAGGAAGGATTCCCAGCCCCTCCTGCTGCGCCAGGCTTGGAGACCCAGCTGGATATCAGAGGGCTGAGCAGCCAGGATCAAACCCTGCTGAGGGGCACGGAGGGCATGATCCCTGCCCTCCTCCCAGCCCTGTGGGAGAAGGGAGCCATTCCACAGCCACCACCCCTGTCCTCCCCTTGCCTTCCTGCTGCTGAGCCCTGGCCTGCATCAGCCCTAAAGGGCTCTCCTGCCAGAAAAAACTCTCCAAGGTGTTGCTGGAGACTGCAGAGGCTCTGCTGGCATTCAAGGCACCCAGAGGAGAAGGTGCAGCATCATGAACACCACTGGGGTGCTTTGGAAGCACCCCAGCCCTGAGAGAAGGACAAAAGGTGAGCCACCCGTGCCCCCTTGCATGCCATTTCCTGTCACCTTGTTTTTACAAGTCTTTCTAAGCCTTCTGGTGTTTACACTCTCATAACGAACTTTCTCACACGCTTTATGTAAATAACTTACTGTTTTGCATTCTTTTACAGAGGAAAAGAGATTTGATAGACTGTTGGTTTGTCCAGTGTCATTGGAGAGGTGGCACTGTCACATCCAGGCAGAATTAAACTTCCCTCTCTTTTGCCTTAGAAAATCCAGTGTCTGTGTCTTTCTGTTTCGTGTCCTAAAGTGACAATTTCCGCCCGGCTGAAAGGCAGGATGCGGGCAGTAAATGTGCACAGAAAATGGGGCAGCCCAGGATGACGGCAGTAAACAGGGCAGTGCAGGATGAGGGCAGTAAATGGGGCAGCCCAGGATGTGCACAGGGAATGGGACAGTCCAGGATGTGCACAGGGAATGGGGCAGTCCAGGATGTGCCCAGTGAATGGGGCAGCGCAGGATGTGCACAGTAAATTGGGCAGTGCAGGATGTGCACAGTGAATGGACAGTGCAGGATGTGCACAGTAAATTGGGCAGTGCAGGATGTGTACAGTGAATGGACAGTCCAGGATTTGCGCAGTAAATTGGACAGTCCAGGATGTGCACAGGGAATGGGCAGTGCCAGTGCTGCTGACGAGGGTCCCAGGGCTGTGACACACGGCTCCCCTGTCCTACGCAGGCAGGAAGGGCGCTGGGCTTTGATCCCCTGCCAACAACGGGGGGCTCAGCCATAAAAACAAGGAAATAACTGGCTGCACACGTGCTGCTGTGTCTGCCCTGACAAGGCAGAGAGCTGGAGCAGCTCTCCTGGAGCTGGCTGAGGTGATGTCCCCACCCCAGGTGGGATCCTCAGGGTGGTTCCACCAATTCCTGGTGGTTTTCCCCCCATTTTTTCTCCTCTTCATTGAGTAAACAGCCTAACAAAGGGAAGCAGCTTTCCTCCCTTGCAATAACACAGAAATTGACCTTGTCAGCCAATGTCTAAATTACCTGCGATGACAAAGGGCAAATGACCAGGGAGGTGTGTTCTGATAAAACAGTAACACAGCGACTGCTCTATAAAATCAGGACATAACTTTCACACGCTGGATAAGCTGGAAGGGCTGCAGCCTGGGAAAGTTTGCTCAGGTTTTAATGGTTCACTCATTAGCGGTTCGACCAGATTTGTCCATTTCCTACATTTGGAATAAGAAGCTGAGGTGGGAACATTTCCTCTTTCACAGTCCCAGAGCTGCAGCCCTCACAAGCACCTCGGCAACACAAGGACTTTATTTACACTGCACAACCTTGAGGTGCCAGCACAGAATCATACAAAGGGAAGGGTTGGAAGGGAACTTAAAGCTCCTCCTGTTCCACCCCCTGACATGGGCAGGGACACATTCCAGTACACCAGGCTGCTCAAGGCTTTATCCAACCTGCCCTGGAACACTTCCAGGGCTGGAGCATCCACAACTGTCCTAATTGTACCCCAGAATCCTGATTTTAGCCTGCTTTGAGCCGGCCTGAGATTGCCCAGCTGCTGTGGGATGTCATGTGCACACTCCCTGCCCTCACCCCTGCCTGTCCCCTCCTCACCCTGTCCCCCACCCCAGTGCCCCGTGTCCCACACCCTGTGCCGACAGGGGCCCTGGCTCTCCTCGCTGTGCCTCTCCTGCAGCCCTGGCCATTATCAGCCACCCGCAGCCCTGTGCCTTCCTTATCCCCTGTCCCTGTCTCTCAGCCCTGTCCCTGGGCACCAGCTGCCATCCCCAATCTCCCCATTCCCGGTACCCGCCTTTGGGCCATGTCCCGTGTCCCCAGGCCCTGCTGCCCCCTCTCCAACCCCAAACCCGCATCCCGTGTGCTGCTGTCCCCTCTGCCCTGCCCTCCACGTCCCATTCACCATGTCTGTGCCCTATCCCCCATCCTCTGCCCCTGCATCCCTGTTCTCCATCCTCTCCCCGCGCCCTCCCATCCACTCCTGTCCCCTCTGCGCTGCTCTCCCCTCCCTGTGCCCGTCCCCTGCCGTTCCCCGCGGCCGCCCTCCGCCGCCATCCCCACCGGAGCCCGTCCCCATGACCGTGTGCACATGACCCCGCTGTCCCTATCCTCGCCTCCCGTTCCATCCCCGCCTCCCGTTCCATCCCCGCCTCCTTTCCGTCCCCGCCTCCCTTCCGTCCCCGTGCCCGCTGCTTTTCCGTGTCCCCGTGTCCGGTGCCCCTGTCCCCATCCCCGTCCCCGTCCCCATCCCCGCCCCCTGCCCGGTTCGGCGCTGTCCCGGCGCTGTCCCGGCCGTGTCCCCGGCTGTCCCGGCGGTGTCGCGGCCGTGTCCCCGGCTGTCCCGGCGGTATCCCCGGCTGTCCCCCGGCTGTCCCCAGGCTGTCCCCCCGGGCCATGTCCCCGCGGGCGGTGCGGGTGCTGCGGCTGGGCGCGGTGCCGTACGCGGAGGCGCTGCGGGTGCAGGAGCGCTGCGTGGCGGCGGCGCGGGCGGCCCGCGGCGGCCCGGGGGAGCCGCTCCCGGCGGCGGAGAGCGTGGTGCTGAGCGAGCCGGCGGCGCCCGTGTACACCTGGGGGCTGCGGGGCGCGCCGGGCGCGGCGGCGGCGGCGGCGCTGCGGGCGCGGGGCGCGGCGCTGGTGGCGGCGCGGCGCGGCGGGCACATCACCTTCCACGGGCCGGGACAGCTGCTCGCCTTCCCCGTGCTCGACCTGCGCCGCCGCCGCCTGCCCCTGCGCGCCTACGTGGCCGGGCTGGAGGCGCTGGTGCTGCGGCTGTGCCGCCGCCTGGGGCTGGGCACGGCCCGGGCGCTGCCGCCGCCCTACACCGGGGTCTGGATGGGCGACAGCAAACTCTGCGCCATCGGTGAGCGGGGACGGCCCCGGGAGCGCGGCGGGGACGATGGAGCCGGGCTGGGCTCCGAGGGTGCTCCACGAGCGGAGAGGAAGGATCCAGGGAGAGCTCAGAGCCCTTGCAGGGCCTGAAGGGGCTCCAGGAGAGCTGCAGAGGGACTGGGGACAAGGCCTGCAGGGACAGCACACAGGGAATGGCTTCCCAGAGGGCAGGGATAGATGGGATATTGGGAATTGGGAATTGTTCCCTGGCAGGGTGGGCAGGCCCTGGCACAGGGTGCCCAGAGCAGCCGTGGCTGCCCCTGGATCCCTGGCAGTGCCCAAGGCCAGGCTGGACCGATCTGGGATATGGTGGGAGGTGTCGCTGCCCGTGGAACTCCTCCCAGCCCAGCCCAACCCATCCTGCGATTCCCTGGACATTGGGGCAGGGCACTGCGGGAACCTGGAGCTGCAGGGGTGGGACTGGCACCCAGGAGGAGGGGGCAGCACAATTTGGAGCCCCTGCAGCCCCCCCAGCCCCCAGCACTCGGCACCCCTTGCTCCCAGGGCTGCCTGCAGCCCAGTCCCCAGCCTTGCCCCTTCCCTGGCACCCCTCCACATCCTGCACCTCTTCCCAGGACCCTGCAGCCTGGATTTGGGGCCCTGCAGCTCTCCCCATGGCCGGGCCCATTGGAAGCTCCAGTGCTGGGAGGTGCTGGGGGATGCAGGAGGCTGTGGACATGCTGCTCCCCATCTGACCCAGTTTTGGGGAGCCTGGCAGGAAACTCAATTTTTGGGATTCCCCTGGCAGAAAGGAGCACAGTGTGGCGGGGGAGGATGTTTTCAGTGATCTGGCAGCGCGGTCACTGGGTGTGACGGGGCTGACTGACCAGGGATGTGCTCTGCGCCCCGCAGGTGTGCACTGCGGCAGCCACATCACCTCGCACGGGCTGGCGCTCAACTGCTGCACCGACCTCTCCTGGTTCGAGCACATCGTGCCCTGCGGGCTGGAGGGCAAGGGCGTCACCTCGCTCAGCCGGGAGCTGGGACAGCACATCGCCGTCAGCCACGTCCTCCAGCCCTTCCTCGACTCCTTCCAGGAGGTGTTTGAGTGCACTTTGGTCTCCTCAGAGGACCCCGGGGACTAGGATCCTTGTGCCGCCTTGGCCGGGTGTGCTGGCGCCAGGCCAGCCCCCAGTTCTTGTGCCTTTGCCTGTGGACTGTGAGTGGACCGTGGCACAGGGTTCCAGGCTGCTGCCTGACCATCCAAACCTGCCCTGGGGCTGTTCTCTCCAGCCCTGTGAGTCTCCATCCCTCGGTGAGACCTCCGTGGGTACCACAGTCCCTTGCTGGGGAAGTACCCAAACAGGTGCTTCTGTGGGGTTTCTTCTGCTTTTTGCCCCACAGAAATTAAAGATTTGTGTGAATGCTCACGAATTCACATGAATTCACGTGGGTCATCCTTTACCTTGCTGGGTAAAAAGGCAGATTTTGTATATAAAGAGAGTAGCTGGGAACTTTGGCTGCCGATCCTTTTCTCACTTACTTACCCCAAGGCTTTATCAATGCCAACATTTTCCTCACCCTGAGCCCACGGAAAACCCTCACGTGGCAGAGATCCTGGCGCCAGGGAGGGTGGGAGGTGGCTGTGAACCCTGGAGGAAAGGCCACCGTGGAGGCAGTGGGAAAGGGGGAGGAGGAGGAGGAGGAGGGAAAAGGCTCGCCAGGAGAGCAGCCACGGCTGTCGAGGATCCTGTGGCACCACACCACATTCCAGCTGGGAAGTGCAGACCTGCTCCCACGGGGTCTGTGGGGCTGCAGATCGCTGTCCTGGCTGCAGCATCCTGAGCTGAGGGAGTGCACGGGTTTATTCAGGGCTGAGAATTCAGCCTGAGGCTGAGGTACCCCCACCCTGCTCAGAGCAGGACCTGACCCGCACCCTCAGCCCCTGGCTGCTGCTCTGGGTGTGCTCCCTGCCCCACAAGCTCTGGGCTCTCTCTGTTGCTGCACAGCTCTGGCAGCTCCCCGTGAGCGCCCCGGGGGTGCCCGGTGGGGCTGGGAAGGGGGAAATGGAGCCACGGAGCACAAAAAGGGGGAGACGGGGCAGGCTGAGCTCCAGGAGGGCAAGGTGAGCAGGAGGAACATGCCCGGGCAGGCTCTGTGCCATGTGAGGGCTCGGGGCCCGTGGGACAGGGAGGGGCAGGGACAGGGACAGGGACAGGGAAGCGGGAGCGGCAGGGTGTGCGGGGGCAGCGCTGCTCTCCCGCCCCATAGAGCCCCACAGAGCCCCATAGAGCCCCACAGAGCCCCAGAGAGCCCCGCAGAGCTGTCCCGGGGCTGGCCGCGGCAGGTGGCTCTGCCCGGGAAGGGGAGGAGGCTGGCGGCGCTCCCAGCCCGCCGCATCCCTCCCTCCCTCCCTCGCCGCCGGCCGCGATGCTCAGTCCCGGCTCAGCCTGGCAGCAGGGAGGGCACACGAGGTGAGTGCGAGCCCCTTCCCACGCCCTGTGCCCCGCTCCTCACAGCCCCGCTCAAAGTCGTGCCCCATCTCTGGGTGCCCTCCCGGGACAAACCCAGATCTTGCCCCAGAACCTCCCAAATTCAGCCTGCTTAAGTCAGGAATGCAGCCAGGTCCGACCTCGTCCCCGCGGGCTCGTGGCTGCTCAGCCCCTTCCTCCTCCTCCTCCTCCTCCTCCTCGCAGCTGGGGTCTCATGCTGGGAGGTGTCCCCTGAGTTTGGGGCGGCCCATTTGGGATCAGCTGCCCCTGCACGGGTGGAGCTGCGGGTGCAGCAGGCAAGGGGAGCTGGAGGGCACAGGCTGGACCCCAGGCGGGACAAAAGTGGGGACTGGCGTGTCCCAAAGGGTGGCACACCGTGTCCCAAAGGATGGCACACTGTGTCCCAAAGGGTGGCACACCGTGTCCCAAAGGATGGCACACCGTGTCCCAAAGGGTGGCACACCCAAAGGGCACCAAAGGAGGGATGGCAGGTCACGGGGGGCCTGGCACCCAAAGGGAAGGGAAATCCCCAGGGAGGTTTAGGGCAGCAACCCCTCAAGGTGGGCTTGCAGTGATTTGTGGGGGGCTGTGCCTGCTCTGCACCCTGCAGCGGGGCAGGACAGGAGCCCACCATGCCCACACATCCCTGGGGAAAGCAGAGTGTGAACCCAGCCCCTCGGGACTGCTGTGTCCCCACATTGTCCCAGCCCTGGGGATTGGGAGGAGAGAGAGGCAGGCAGCTGCCCCAGAGCCCCGGGAACTTTATCTCCTCCATGAAAGGACTGAAATTTAGGGTTTGGGTGCTGGGGTTACAAAGGATTTGGTGCTGGGGTTGCAGAGGGTTTGGTGCTGGGGTTACAAAGGGTTTGGTGCTGTGGTTGCAGAGGGTTTGGTGCTGGGGTTACAAAGGGTTTGGCTGCTGTGGTTACAAAGGGTTTGGTGCTGTGGTTACAAAGAGTTTGGGTGCTGTGGTTGCAGAGGGTTTGGGTGCTGGGGTTACAAGGGTTTGGGTGCTGGGAATGAAAGGGTTTGGGTGCTGGGGTTACAGAGGGTTTGGTGCTGGGGTTACAAAGGGTTTGGGTACTGGGAATGAAAGGGTTTGGTGCTGGGGTTACAAAGGGTTTGGTGCTGGGAATGAAAGGGTTTGGGTGCTGTGGTTGCAGAGGGTTTGGGTGCTGGGGTTACAAAGGGTTTGGTGCTGGGGTTACAAAGGGTTTGGGTGCTGGGAATGAAAGGGTTTGGGTGCTGGGGTTACAAAGGGGTTTGGTGCTGTGGTTACAAAGGGTTTGGGTGCTGGGGTTACAAGGGTTTGGGTGCTGGGGTTACAAAGGGTTTGGTGCTGGGGTTACAAAGGGTTTGGTGCTGGGGTTACAAAGGGTTTGGTGCTGTGGTTGCAGAGGGTTTGGTGCTGGGGTTACAAAGGGTTTGGGTGCTGGGGTTACAAAGGGTATGGGTGCTGGGAATGAAAGGGTTTGGGTGCTGGGGTTACAAAGGGTTCGGGTGCTGGGGTTACAAAGGGTTTGGGTGCTGTGGTTGCAGAGGGTTTGGTGCTGGGGTTACAAAGGGTTTGGGCACCCTGCTCTGCGGCAGAGGAGCACTTTGGGGTCGGTGTTGTGCCCGGGGCCCCGGTGCTGTGAGTGCAGCCCCCCGATCCCGCCGTCCGTCCCCGCAGGGCCATGGAGGGCACGAACGGCACGGAGCCGTGGCAGCGCAGCCTGCAGGCGGTGCTGAGCGCCCTGAACCGGACCCTGCACGGGGCCCGGCCGTGCCCGGGGCAGCCCCCGGCCGGGCCGGTGCCGGTGCCCGGGGACCCGCGGCGCAACGCCAACGCCTACATGTACATCCTGTTCGTCATGACGCTCTTCGCCGCCACCGTGGGCAGCCTCATCCTGGGCTACACCCGCTCCCGCCGCGTGGACAAGCGCAGCGACCCCTACCACGTCTACATCAAGAACAGGGTCTCCATGATCTGAGCCGGGGACACCGCGCCGGGCACGCCCCGCTCGCCGGGGGATGCGGCGGGGCTGCTGGAGCCCCCCGGAGCTGCTGGAACCCCATGGAGCTGCTGAGAACCCCCCAAAACTGCTGGGAACCCCATGGAGCTGCTGAGAACCCCCCAAAAGTGCTGGGATCCCCATGGAACTGCTTGGAACCCCATAGAGCTGCTGGCAACCTCATGGAACTGCTGGGACCCCCCAAAGCTGCTGGGAACCCCATGGAGCTGCTGGGAACCCCCCGAGCTGGAAGAGCGTGACCTGCCAGCAGGTGCTGGTCCTGCAGCCCCAGCCGGGCTCCAGCGGGTCCATGGGGCTGGCAGGGCAGCCCCTGTCCCACCGTGGGCCGGCAGGAGCCTTCAGGGAGAGCATTTCCCCCTTTGCCGGCCCAGATCAGCCCTGCCCGGGCTCCCCGCAGCTGTGGCGGTGTCCAGCGGGTGTTCCTGGTGCTGAATCCCGGCGGTGTCCGAGCTGGGCTGGCCCTGCTGCCCTGCCGGGAATTAAAGGAGCTGCTGGGTCAGGGCTCCCGTGTTTGCTTCTGCCCCGAGCCAAGGCGGGGCCTGGGGCAGTGCGCGGGGCACGGCTCTGTGCCAGAGCCCGGGAATGCTGAGAGGGATAAAGCTCTGCCTGTGCGCTGCCAGGGCACTCCGGGGCAGCATTTTGGGACACCACAACCGCGGGATGGGAGAAATCCCCGGGATGGAGCGGGATGGGAGAAATCCCCGGGATGGGAGAAATCCTCGGGATGGAGTGGGATGGGGCAAATCCCCGGGATGGGACAAATCTCCGGGATAGGGCAAATCCCCGGGATGGGAGAAATCCCCCGTATGGGACAAATCCTCGGGGTGGGACAAATCCCTGGGATGGGACAAATCCCCGGGGTGGGACAAATCCCCGGGATGGAGTGAGATGGGACAAACCCCCGGGATGCAGCGGGGTGGGACACACCCCTGGGATGGAGCGGGATGGGACACATCCCCGGGATGGAGCGGGATGGGACACATCCCTGGGATGGAGCGGGATGGGACAAACCCCCGGGATGGAGCGGGATGGGACAAATCCCCGGGATGGAGTGAGATGGGACAAACCCCCGGGATGGAGCAGGATGGGACACATCCCTGGGATGGAGCGGGGTGGGACAAACCCCCGGGATGGGACACATCCCCGGGCTGGAGGAGCCCCGCGTTCCCCGCGGACGCTCTGTCCGTGTGTCCCTCTGTCCGTGCGTCCCGCTGCCGTGCGGGCAGCGCTGCCGGAGCCCCGGGCACGCTGCAGCCCGGCCGGAGCCGTGTGTGTGGCTCCAGGCATCCCGCAGAGCCTCTCCGGGCTCCGGATGGCGATGCCGGACTCTTTCCTGCTTCCTTCCTGCTGTCAGCTGCAGCTTTGGCCTTTTGTACCGCGGCTCCCAAATGCGTTTTCCATGGGCTGAGGGGGGACGGGAAGGGGATGTCCTGGGGTCCCGCTGGCCTCCTTGGCTCTGGCCTGCCCTGGTTCGGAGCTGGCTGTGGGGTGGCCGCTGGCCGGGACGGAGAATGTCCCTGTCCTTCAGCACAGGCTGTGGGGCAGCGCCGGCGTCCCGCACGTCCCGACCTGTTGCCAATGGCATAATGAGTGCCGCTAATTGCAGCGAGATTAGCTGGCCCATTAGCGGGGGCCCTTCCGCCTGCATTCCAAGGTCAAGCGCGGCTGCAATCCCGAGCCCAAACAGTGACGCCAAGCCCTGACCCCAGGAATAACAGTGGAGGTGAGAGTGTTCGGGGCAGGGCTGGAAACCTTGGCACCGGCGGGGCAGCAGCCCGGTGACCATTCCCTCGGCTTGGGCACAAACCCCGAGCAGGGCAATGGGGAGCCCGTCCCGGGGCTGATCCCAGCGGGATTCCCGAGGGTGCAGGTGTCCCGGGCACAAACCCCGAGCAGGGCAATGGGGAGCCCGTCCCGGGGCTGATCCCAGCGGGATTCCCGAGGGTGCAGGTGTCCCGGGCACCTGGCCCCAGCGGGAAGCAGCTCCTCTCTGCTCATCCGGCACCTGCATTGCTGGGAAAGGAAAACAAACCTTTATCTGCACATAGACCAGGGGAACCCGGCCAGGAGGGACAGAGACACCCTGTGCTCGTCCTTTTCCTGCACCTGCCCGGGGTTTGGCCTCCTCCAGCACCTGCACCTCCAGCGGGATGGGCCGTGCAGCAGCCAGGGCCGGGATGTGGGGATGGGGGCTGGATGGTGAGTGTGGTACCCCAAAATCCCCCCAGTGAGGTGCAATTCTGGCTTTTCCCACTTCTCAGAGAGAGGGATGCATATGGTGACTCTGGAACCTCTTCTGATACTGTGGCCCAAGGGGAAAAACCCTGTTGAAGGATGGCATGCCATAAAAATTTGGGGGAAAGAAATAAAAATGCTGCTCATCCCTAATCTGGCAGATTCTGAGGGTGAAAATCCCTCCTGCAGCTGTGGTTACCCACCCGATCTGCAACCCACTGGCAGCTCCACTGTCCCTCCAGAGGAGGGAAAATTCGGGAAATCCGGAGCAGGGCATGGCAGGGCAGGGGGAGTGGGGTGGCCGGCTGGATGCCACCAGGCTGGGTGACAAGATGCCAGTGCCACCTCGTGGCAGCTGCCTCAGGGTCCCGGTGTGTCACACGTCCTGGCTGGATCCCCAAATCCCCAGGTGAGCAAATTGTAGCTGGCTACATTTGGGGTTTAACCAATGCAGACAGGAAAAACCCAGCAGGCTCCTGGGAGGCTGATTTATTGGAGACTTTGTGTGCTGGCACACACAGCAGCAGATCACGGGTCAGAGGGGCTCTGGGGCCTGGAAAAGGACATGGAAACGTGCGGGAAGCTGGGCTGAGCCCGGCTTGGCGGATCAATGGCTGGATTGTTGGGGCAGCAGGAACCTTGGGAGCCTGGTCTGGGGCTGCTTTGATGCTGATAAGGAAGGCACCAGGGGAAGTGATAGCAGCTCAGTGTCGCTATAGGGCACGAAGGAACACAAGCTCACACCGCTGTTCTCACAGTAAAGGAAAAAAGAAGTTTGTTCTCTGACTCCAACATTTCTAGATTTCCAAGAGTGACAGTGGATTGGAGGGTGACAGTGCCACCTCTCCAATGACACTGGACAGACCCACAGCCCATCAACTTTCTCCTCTTCCATAAAAGAATGCAAACCAATGAGTTACTTACAGAAAGTGTGTGAGAAAGTTCGCTGCAAGAATGTCAACATCAGAAAGCTTAGAAAATCTTTAAAAACCGGAGTAAACAGCTCAGGGCATGGGGCTGCCAGCAGGGCTGCCTCGGGTCCTGCTGGCACAGCCTCTCTGAGCCGGAGAAGCTCTGCTCCAGTGGGGAATTTGCAGGCAATCCCCACATGGGGAGAGATGAGAATCTTGACTCCATGCTTCAGAGGGCTATTTTATGATATATATACATTATCATAAATTAGCCTTCTGAAAGGCTACTTTTATGATAGGTATATTATATTTTATGATATATATTTTATATAAAATATATATTTTATATATTATTTTATTATATATGTTGTTCAGGAGGTGTTCAGGAGACAGAAATAATGGATTTATAAACCAAAAATCCTGCCCCAGGGGCGGCACTGAGGGGCTCAGCCACCCCCAGCTGCAGGAGCACACGGGGGTCACCCTGCACAGCTTGGAGAGACCAGGAGTGCTGGGAAAGCAGCTGGGATGGCTCGGGGGCTCGGGGCTGGAGCTGCACCATGTGGAATAAAGGGTGACAATTGCCATGGAAACCTCAGGATCTGCTCCAGAGCTGCTCCCATCACGGGGCTGGTCCCATGTGCTGTGTGCTGGGTTTGGGACAGAGCCCGAGGATGCTGACGGGGTGGGACACCTGCCTCTGACCCTGAGGTGTGTCCCAGCCCTCCTGGTGGGCAGCAGGAAGGGAGGATTGTGTCCCTGTGTCCCTGTGTCGCTGAGCCCAGTGAGACCCCACCTGCAGCCCTGGGGACACAGCAGCAGCAGCACCTGGAGCTGCTGGGGAGAGCCCAGAGGAGGCTCCAGGGTGATCAGAGGGATGGAGCCAGGCTGGCAGGAAAGGCTGAGGGAATGGGGATTGTTCAGCCCAGGCTAGAGGAGCTCCAGGGTGACCTGAGTGTGGCCTCGCAGCACCCGGAGGGAACCCACAGGAAAAACAGAGACTTTTTACAAGGGCTCAGGACAAGTCTGCCTCAAACCGACAGAGGATTGATGTAGATGAGAGGTTAGGAGGAATTCTTTGCCCAGAGAGGCTGCCCCTGGATCCCTGGCAGTGCCCAGGGCCAGGCTGGATGTGGCTGGGAGCAGCCTGGCGCAGTGGGAGGTGTCCCTGCCACGGCAGGGGTGGCGCTGGCATTGGTCCCAGTGTGGCCCTGAGTTTGCCCTGGCAGGCCCAGAGCAGCGTTTCCCTGGCTGCAGGACAATGCCACAGCCCCGTGTGACACTGCCCTGCCTTCGGAGCTGCCATTCTCTCCCGCTGGGGCTGAGCCCTGCCACGCTCCTGCCAGCTCCCAGCACACGAGCTGCTGCTGCCAGCCCTGCTGCTGCCAGCCCTGCTGCTGCCAGCCTGGCTCCCTCCATGCCTGCCAGCCCTGCTGCTGCCAGCCCGGCTCCCTCCATGCCTGCCAGCCCTGCTGCTGCCAGCCTGGCTCCCTCCATGCCTGCCAGCCTGGCCTGTTGGCCCTGGGCTGCGCTGCTGCTCCCTGGGCACTCAGGGGAAAGCACAGAGACCTCGGCTCTCCTTCCACCTGGGAATGGGTTTCAGCTTTAAAAACTCTTCTGGAGGCCCCTGGATCCCTGGCAGTGCCCAAGGCCAGGCTGGACAGGGCTTGGAGCAGCCTGGGACAGTGAGAGGTGGTCCTGCCCATGGCAGGGGATGGGAATGAAATAAGCTTTAAGGTTTTTTCAACCAAAACCATCTGTGATTCCCTGATTCTATCCCTGTGCCTGCTGTCACTATGGCAACCTCTGCCA